ATTATTTGATGTGTGATAACAAAATTTCCTCACTTTATATAGTTTTTTTTAAGTATCAGGATTACTGGGCTTATCCTTAAGAAACTTATATTTGCTATAGAATCTCATAAAGAGCGTTACAATCTTTACAGCCTCTCAAATGCTGTATTTGCAACCAATCATAATGGTTAGAAAAAAATTTAAGCTATTGTATAAATATAATTCTACAGACGATAATTTGTTCAACACATTATTCATGTTAGACTATTCCGGTCAGTTCGCAAATGGGATATTGATGTTGTAATGGCATTGTTTGCTGTAACTAAGTAAGAGGCTTTGGTAATGTAACTAAGCCAAGAGGCTTTAAAACTAAGCCAAAAGGCTTTGTAACGGTACCTAAGCCATATATTAATAAATTCAAAATTCCTATTTTATTTCAATAACAAATTATTTATATCGATACGTAGTAAATTAAATAATGGATACTGTTTACGTCTAATATAATTCCGCCCGAAAGATCACGATTTACGCTTGTAAATTGCTTTCGATAATTGTGGCTACTCTTTGTAGATCATTTTTCGACCAGTAGTTCAGAATTATGGGAAGTTAGTTCTATTTTTATAAAAATTATTGATACTTTTTTTTACATAGTTTCGACGGTACCAACGAAACATAATGGTTTTTCTCGCAATCTTAACGTTAATATTTAATATGCGAACAAATCTCTTCAAAATGAATAGAAAGTAATAATTTCAAATTCTTAATTCTTTATTGTTTTGCAAATGGCCTAACTTTAATTTGTTTTTTTTACCTTTTATAAACTCATATTGGTGTTTTTCAATAACAAAGAGCATTTAAATTTTTAATTTATTAATCTTTTGGAATTATTAAATCTAAAAAAACATTGCTCTTTTTTATTTTCATTTTTAATTAAATACAAAATCATTTCAAAGGAAGTGAAAAAAGAACGTTCTTTAAATTCATTTGTGGATATTTCAAAGACTTTGTGAATTAGAAATCAAACTCATTCATAAAATTTGTATAATTGATTTGTTCTTACTTTGCAAGTATAAATAAAAAAAGAACTTTGATAAATAGTAACCACCTTGTTATGTTACATTATTTTCCTTAAATAATTATGGATTTACTATTACACAAGTTATAGCGAAGTACATCTCAATTGGGATTGCTAACGCGTTGAACCTTATTCATAAATATAGATCTTAACTAAGAAATAAGAAGGTCAATATCATTCCGGCGCACAAAATTATTATTTATTAACAAATTTTTAACGCTTATTTGTATCATCGGTTATGTCATTTCAGCTAGTGAACGTACAGATTCTAGATGGATTCATCCTGAAAAATTTCAAAATAGAAGATTTACTAAAGTCAGTGAAAATTATAGGTATATTATTTTCAATAATATAATTTATTTTTTTTAAAAAAAAAGATTAATTCTTTGCATAGCTTCACAATATAGATTTTAAAGATATCACAACTCGAAGCTTCTCAACCATTGAAGAAATAAAATATTTATCTCCTTCTTCATCTTGTTCAGGGTGGCATGTTAAACAATGATATGTAGGTTCCAGATGAATCATTAGACAAATCTATGAAAATATTTTTGATATTCGACATTTATTGGTTAATAATCCTATGTGATATCATTATAATTATCACTAGAAACCCATATTAAATTCTTAGTTCAGAACACTATTTAAACTACTGAGAGAATAATGAACCAGTAATTGGACGCAAAGATTACGTTCACAAAGTGATTCACTTAGCATCTTGTTGGATAATTAAAGGAAAAGATTAATTATGTTATAAAAGCCTTGAATTTTTTGCATTGATCAAACATATCATTAAACTAAAATGTTCGAGTTAAACAATAATTTTTTGTAATTTCAGTAACATCCAAATTTGCATACAAAAATATCTCAAGCTAAAAATAGCAGCTGTTTACAAAGTTACATTTGAAAAATAATATATTTTATTAAAGAATTGATTCTATACCTTGCGCGCGTGATATGTTGTTATACATTTTATACATTTCAATATTTTTTTTTACTTGAAATACTTCATATTCTTCTATAGAGAAGTAATCTTCAGTTTCCCTGATTTATTTCTCATAAGATGTCATTTTACAATAACTTTTATCAAAAAAAGCATTTCCATGCATATTAAGATCCATCCGACCAAATGATAGACCGTTTGTAAACCGACTTTTTATAGCATAATCAACTTCTCTTACCCGACTTAGAATACAATTTTCAATGTTTTCTTTACCCTTGAAAGAGAATATAAAACTTTCCTTATTATTATGATAACTAGGAAAATAATTCCGAGTGTAGGAATTCCAACATCAGGATTGTACCCACCAAGAATTTCGTCACTACCTTTTATTTTAATAATTGTTACTGTATGAGATAAATTCTATGGAATTTCACAGATGTAAATCCATCCCGAGATCCACAAAATAATAATTTAAATTCATGTTGAATTTTTAATTCATTTTTAACATCCATTCTATCAATCCATTTTGAGATTAATTCAGCATGTATTTCTGTGATAGTTTTTGATTTAATATTTGTTGAGGGAGATTTATGCTCGTCACTTGGACTATAATCATTCTCCAAGAAACATTTATTTAAATCTACATATAAGTCTTTTGGCAATGCTTTCTTGTATTGAAGAACATTATTCAAAAACTCCCTGGAAGTTAAATCACGAAATCTTATAAATGGAATACATTGTTGTAAGGTATTCTTCAAAGATTTGAAGTCATCCTTTGAATAGCTAGAAAGATCAGGATTTCGAGCGACTCCCCATTTCATAACATGTTTCCAAACTTGAATTCCTTTCATTGTAAATTTATCGTTTTGAATAAGAGTAACCAAAGATTTTTCTGGAATTAAACAAAATCAACGGAATTAAAGAAATTTTCTGGCTCTTTTAACATTATGTTGGTACAATACTCTTGAAGTTTCAAGAAGGAGTCATTTCTAAAACTCGTCCGACATATCAACTTAAAATTCCAATCTACTTCATTTTCAATCAAATATAATTTCTTGAATATTTAATTCATCAGCGGCAATCATGATATTAATAATTTCTGAAATATCATATCCCTCCAAAGAAAGTCTTGCTCCGTAAATATACCTTTGAATAAAAAATAAAAAAAGAAGTTAAAAATTTAAAAAAAGTAATTATAAAAACTAAAGCAATCTTTATATTTAAAGATACCTCAATATTACATGAAAACTTTCAGGCTGAATATTGGGTAATTTAATATGTACCAAAGTTCCATCATTTTTCTTTCTGTAGGTGGACAAAACTCTTCGCAAATATGGAGAAAGATAATTTAAAATTATCATATGAGCACGAAATACTTTTACATATGGATCTTTTCCAACTTCAATTGTAACGTCATAATATTCATTATCTTCTAAACATTCAAGCAAATTTTGTGATAATTTCGGTAAAAACTTATCATCCGCCATTATAAATTTTATAATTTTATATTCTGAATTTTTTAATGAGAAAAAGTAAAACCCTTTTTAAAACTTGAGTTGGAAATAAAAAATGGGTGATTGGTTTCTGATTGTTACACAACATTAATGTTTGTAAAGTTCAACTTTGCATCCAAATTAAGCTTGTGAACGGTTTATCAAAATATTAAAAATTTAATAAAACTGTGTTTATATTGGGATAAGTTTATTAATATTATTTACTCATTTAGCTGGTAGTGTCTGGTACGAAATCCAGAAATACATAATTCCGGCCACAATCCCGAATGTTAAAATCCCGAATGCCAAAATCCCGACTAGTACACTTAATATCCTAGAAGTGATGATTATACGATTCAATTTAACGAAGTATTAAATATTAATATTTATAACACCTTTGCAAATTAATTAAGCTGAACTTGATTTTGTAATTAATAAAATGTTAAAAATATAAAAGCTAATAACCAGCAAGAAAACTAAGGATAATTAACTACAATGAAAGGTTATGCGTGATCCCACGGAGAAAGTCCATTACTGAATGATTTTCTCTGTCATTAACAATAGTCATAATTCTTTGCTATCTATCAATTGAAGCCTTTTTTCTTGATGGTGATTGTTTACCACGAACAATACATTTAACTTGAAAGTCAATATTCTGATGTTCTTTCTGTATCTCTTTAATTATTGTATAAAGACCTACATGACATTTTTTTCTTTTAATAAAAGTTATTACTGTCCGACGTTTCGTAAAAATACGTGTTTCACATGCTTTCAGCAACAGTTCTTTCTTTATGTGGAATTCAATTTGGCTTTTTTTATAAAATCACATTATAACTTTAAGAGTAGACTTTAAATATAAACAAGTAATTGTATATTAGATAAAGTTATTAAAAATGCCTAAAACAACGCTACAATGAATTCAATAAATATATATCATTACATGATGAATTAAAAAATATATTATAGTCGGTTGGTTAAAGATCTTTGACCAACCGTTAACCATAACCTTTCACTTTGTGTAAATTCAATTCTTTTTTTTAGGAACGGAACTTATATCTTCAACCCTAAGATAAGTCTTGCGGAGGGTCCTTATTGAAGATAAAAAAAAAAAAAAAAAAATTAAATCGCGCAATTTTCGTTGGATATTCTTCGATCCAAAGGGTCTCGAAATTAAGAAAATAAAAAAAGTTAAAATACATTTTCATTGGAAGTGAATCGCAGTGAGATTTTGAAGAAACAATTCTATGTTTACTACCTCTCGAGGAGGGTTCAAATTCCAATCTGCGGACAGTAGAAAAATTAGGGCGCAGGATTTTATATTCACGCCGAAACAAACATATCGTAATTTGACTCAACAACAACTTTGGAACTTCAAGCGTGAACCTTTCACTAGATTTGTCGTTGAGATTGGGACATCGGAACTAATACAACCAATTCAAATTTTATAAGACTGGAGGATCCTTATATATAAAAGTGATTAGTATCAGATAAGTTATTGTACGAGATGGAATATTTATTGGTGAAGATTTTGCCAGGCTTCATGTGGAGTTATCTTTGATCAATTCGTTATTTCTCAGGTGAGTAATTTCTATGTTACAATTTTTATCATTTACACATTCATAGATTGAATGATCATAAGAAAAATCAGAAGAAATGGAAATATCAAGTTAAGGGGAATTAGAAATCGGTTGTTCCAAATGTAATGAAAATTTTGATAATATGAATTCATATAACACTATGAAATATTCCATGGCACTCAATCTTCGTATTCGGGATAGATTATAATAATATGGGTGATTCTGTTTGAAGAGAGTTACAGAATATAACGTTCTTTAATATTTTGGTATAGAATGAAGCATGAAAATATGATACTTTTTAATTAAAGAAATAAAAGACAAATAATTAAGGAGCTTGTAATATAATTTTATATACCACTTTTAATTATAATCATTAAGATCAAATCCACTGATTCAATACCTTAAATCTTTTGAAAATGACGTTTATACTCTTTTAAACTATTAATTTATCCTGCAAATGTTATCATAATAACTATGTAAATCATTTTTCATATTTATAAACTAGCGTTTGTTTAATAATATCAACTAGGAAGGCTGAAGGTGTTATTTCGATTCACTTCATCAAAAGAAGCAAAACAACCCAAAAGAGGAACCTAAAAAGGCAAATTCTGAAAATAAATATAAAATAAAGAAATCGACGTCCTAAACCTGACAATTAAAAAATACTCAAAATAAATGGAAACAAATATTAAAAAACCTTCCGTATTTCTAAAAAAATAATGAATTAATTAATAAAACTTTACCAATGCAGCTGAAGTCAAAAAAAAAAGAAAAGATTTTAAAATCGATTAATCGCATTTCGGTTAGATTCTATGATTTTATTTATGGCATAGCGAATTTTTTTATCATGAATTGAAAGCGCATAACGATAATTACTTATTCAGGAATACTTAATATATATGGTTTAGATATTGGTTTCTTCATTTAAATGAATCCAGACTTTTCCACGTAATAACTACATGGATAGCATGGATATACAATCACGATTTAACCAGCTGGTACTCCATATTTTTTCCTTTGTGTTTAGTTTGAAGGATCAGTAAGTTATTTGCTATTTTTTTTTTATTTTTTATTTTAGATTTTTCAAGAAAATAATCCTCCGCAGTTAAATAATGGTTTTTAAAGAACTTTTGTACAAATCCAAAGTAATTTTGTTTTCAAGTCGATCTTTGATTTGTCCAGAATTCGCGTTTTTAGCATACATTAATCGTTACAGCGTTATTTTTAGAACAAATGAACATTTAGATATGATTCTTAAAATTGGATGCATTTTTCGTATTATTCGCATTTGAATTTCAGTTATTTCCATTTTCGTGTAACCATGAACATTCGACGAGTTTATTCAAATTCTAATTAATTTAATTTATTAAATTTTTTAACTCGAACTGATAGTTTTCTAAATTTAATCATTTTTATCTACTTTATAACTAATTAATCTGTTAAAATTAACTTAAGCTCGGTTAATTGACTGGTGTAATATAGAAAAACGAAA